ATATCCAAATACACTTCTCTATTTAACTTTCTCAAATTCTTCTTAACATTTCTAAGTTTCCCATAGAAGACATAGTAAGGCCAACCATCAATTGAGATATTCCAAGCATCAGTAATCAATTGCATGTAAGAAGGATGGCTCACCCAAAAGTATTTAAAAGGTTTGGGTAGGCTATCAACCTGGGGAGCTGAAGTTATTAAGATTTCACAACGATCAGAAACCCCTGGGGGGTAGTTTGAGCAGAACTAGCAGGAAAATTACTCAACCAAGCTTCATTAACAAGCACTCTATCAAGGCGCTTAGCAATAGGATACCCTTTCTGCTTATTCCACCATGTAAACCAGCTACCTGCCACCTTATGATCAACCAGTTTCATCTCCTGAATCCAAGTGTGAAAGTCTTCCATGCTTGTAGTTTGTGAGACAGAATTAGAGGCCTCAACAGGACTCCTAATAGCATTAAAATCACCCAACACAGCCATAGGAACCAAACTCTCATTCTGAGCCCGCAAATCCCTGTACAAAATCACCCTCTCAGCTTCCTTGTTAGGACTGTAAACAAACAGAAGCACCAGTGGCGTGTGCCCTCCAACCAGAAGTTTCAAGAAACATTTATCATCCTCTAGCTTTGTAATAGTAATTCCATCCTTCCAAAATAACCACGCTCGGCCATTGGGGGACTTGGGGTAATTATTCATATGATATAAGTGTCTAAAACTCCGACTAATAATATCAACACTATTTTCTTCTTTTACTCTAGTTTCTATAACTGCTATAAAATAAAGATTAAGTATACGAATCTTTTTAAGCACTGCATAGTGCTTTTCAGGAGCATTGAAGCCCCTGATGTTCCAGCATAAGACCTTCATTTCCCACGTTTCTTGCCACGTCCTCTACCTTTAGCAGGTGGCGGTGGCTCAAAACTCGTTCTCCAGACTGGCCTACTCAATGAAGGAAAGGCATTGTCATCTAATTGCACCTTCTTAGGACCAGAGAATAGATTCCACGGGCTCTTAGCAGCAGAGACAGGATCAGGGGCCCTAACCATGTTCTTCCTATTAGTAACCAATTTGAAACCATCATCCTCAAGCCCAGGGGGATTATTTTGATGAGAACTTGCATTTTAGTATTTTATTGTCGTTTTATTATTCTTATTTGGATTATTGGACTATTCGGGAATTGGGGGAATAATCGGGTAGCAGTAGGGAATTAGCCATTTTTATATAAACTACTTGTACGTGGAATTAATTAATTAAGCAAGATTATAACCTAAAACCTAATTTCCACTCTCTCTCTTCCTCTCTCACACTCGGCCGACCCCTTCCCCCTTCTCTCTCCTCTCTCTCGCCTGCACAGCAGCAACCATTACCCTCCCTTCTTCTTTTCCTTGTCCCCATCAATATCTCCCCTTTACCTCTACTTCTGTTCGTGCCACCAAATCCCCTTCCTTCCCCCATTTTCTCTTACACTAAGGATCAATCCCTAGTTGATCCCCTTCTAATCCAAATCCCTAGATAGAACCCAAATTCCCGGGCTCTATCATATTTACACTGCTTTCCACAACAACAGACACAACAGACTCGCCACTAGCTTCTGACTCGGGGATCTGCGAGCCAGCAGCCTTATCTTGCACACTTAATTCAGCTTGCACAACAGCAACCTCATCCACTTCTCCTTGCCCGCAAAACCAACTATCGACACTTCCTGCACTTTTGGCTACTTAACAATCCAAACACGCTTCACCTTCCCTCCTGGATTAGCACAGTCATGCCCAAACACACCACACTTCTCACATTTCCTAGGCACATGACAGAATCCACATCCACCAACATCTCAGGACGACCATCAGGAGCGATGCTTAGTTTGCTAATCAGATTAGTCTTCGTAGTGATCTCAACACAAACCTTAGCAACACCATACTTTGTCCCCTGCTTTGTTGGATAATCCATACAAAGAGGCCGCCCCAGAGAGCTAGCGAGACGCCCTAACCCTTCCTTAGACGTTAGCTCAGATGGCAAATTTGATAATCGAACCCACACAGGAACAGCAGAATTATCAATGGCTAACGGCTGAATACCTGGTTCCCATTTCTGAAGCAGAACCATGTTCTCTCGATGATGCCAGGGACCGCCTTCAAAAACCAAGCGACAAACTTCCGCATTCGGGAAGTGAAACAACACGGGAATGTATGTGGATTTGTGAAAAGTAAATGCAAAGTTATTCCCAAAATCCAGTATATCCAAAAATATTTCTTGTTTTGAAAATTACTTTGTAAAATTTGTATTTCTTAGAAAGTTATGCGTAATAAAAAAAAAATTCATGACATTTGGATTGCGAATCACAAAGTTATGGCCTTCCAAAGTTTGGCAAAATCGAAAAATTGCTCGTTCAGGATAGCAACCGACGTTTTTCCGAGATGAAAGCGGGACCAAACCACCTATGGCTTGAAAGATCTCAAAAAAATATGCGGAATCAAAAAACATTTCTCTACGATCAGATAACCGAACGCAAAGTTACGTTCGTTTGAAATTTCAGTTTTATATCAGGCCTTCACCGCGGTTGACGGCCACGGTGATGCCCAAACATGTATAAATTAGTAAATTTTTTATAATTTGTGTATTTTGAGATTTTTTTAAGAACGCGTATATTTTGGAATTTTTTCCTAATTCAAGAATCCCAATAATATCTACAGTTTCTCTCAACAGTACTTAAGTAGTACAAAGATCACAATTATGAATGGCAGCAAGCCATTACAAATGTCATCAATAAGGTGGTGGTGTTGTCACCTTGAAAGAACAATCACTTGGCGCCTCTGTAGGAAAGTGACCATTTCTCATTCGAAAAGAAGTAACACATGCAAATAATGAACTACTGGTTAGGTTACATGTTTACTCGAGTGTCTGTGTGATCGAGACCCAATCAATCATCATCATAAGTTGTTACCACTGTCTTCTCTTCCGATTACAATTGCCCTACGTAAGTACAAGATTAATTAATATCCATCACCATCATAGCTCGTAACAAACAAAGGTAAATTACACTGTTATATATGATCATAATTTTGGCATTTGTGACGATAATAATCAACTTTTTTTTAGAAAAAGCTTTAAATATAGTAATCTTTTGGTAAAAACATTAATGACGTTAGGGACGCCATCAATTACGTTAACGACATGCTAATGTGAACGTCAATTCAGCACCAAATTACAATGTAATGTCGTCTGTCAGCCACATTAAATATAAAAATACCTTCACATACACAAAACTATGCTCATACTAATGACAAATAATAAATATAGCCATTCTGTCAAATAAAATAGTTAAATTTAACATAAGTCTTAGAATTGATTACGGGATCTTGGTTGCCACCATGGATTTGGTTGCCATGGACTGATTTGGTTGTAATCGGCGGGAGCAGTGGAGTACCGAGTGCAGTGGCGGAGGGAGAGGGTAACAGGGTGGGACCCACCCTGTTCGGGGGAAAATGGTTAAATTAGGTACTATAGTTAATTGATATCTAAAATTAGCTTGCGTTTAATTGAGAATAGTTGGTAGAAAAGTTTTGGGTTTGAATTTTGGCGACCTCATTTCTTAAGTATACGGTATAAAGATTTGTGCAAACATCAATTTCGTATAAGTTGACTTTCTTATAAGGGAGCATGGTAGTAAATGGTATAATATATTATTGAAATCTTCCAAGAACTCAATCAATTGATACTAAATATTTTTTTAAGAACATCATTCGAAAGTGAACGACTAGGTAAATCATGAATTATTGGTTGGTATAAGATTTATTATTAAACCTCTATCAACAACTCGAGATATTGATATTAACTGTTCTTATCATATTTATTTTTTTCGACCTAGACGCACCTTTAAACGAAATCCTAGCTACAACCACTAAATGAGTGGATGTGATTTCTTTCATTTGTGGCGGTAGGTGGTCATAAGGTGTAGGTTACCAACTTACCATGGTGATTGTTGAAGAGGGGAAGAAGATGACAAATTCTAGGAAACCTATGTTGGGCGAGTTTGTTTTGTGTTTATGGCCGGAGATCATTAGTCTATCCATCAATTGTGATATTTATTATGTTAAATTTAACGATTTTATTGGGCGAAATGACTATATTTATCATCATGCAAAAATGGCTATATTTACTATTAGCATAAAAGTTTTGACTATACGATATTTTAAATTGTTAAGAACCAGTTGATCCAATAACTCGAGTTGTTGAGAGAGATTCAATCTTAGATCATATATCGTTTACTAACACACTCCCTCAAACTCAAGCCCCTCAGACAGACTTGGAGTTTGCACAGTCACAGAACCGGACACCATGTGCTTAACAGAAACAGATCGGGGTCATCGGGATTTGAACAGGAGACCTCTCGGTCACAGAAGGATATGATATCATGTCAAGAACCAGTTGATCCCAATAACTCGAGTTGTTGGGAGATGTTCAATCGTAGATCATATACCATTTGCTAACATAAATATGACGCGGCTAACAAGTGGTATGACGTGACGAGTTGAAGCTGACGTGGCATCCATACTAACACATTAATGTAACTGACGGTGTTTCTAACGACGTTAAAATTTTTAACGGAATTGACTATATTTGTCCAATGAGTATCCCGAATCTTACTATATTCATGATCTTTTAAAAAAAAAATGTTGGCTATTATTGTCTCGAAAGCTATAACTATAACTATACATAGGGGGTGGACATTGGTCGATTCGGTCTGGAACCGGATCTAATCTAGAAATGGCAGGCCTGAAAACAAAGGGAAAACGAGGACCTAAACCAGACCAAAAGCATGTTTGGTTCAATTCAAATTCAAAATCAATTCATAGAACCAATACCGGGTTGAAATATATTCAATCCGATCTAATTCAAATATCAATTCGATAAGATTCGGTCCGGTGTTAAGTAGATAGTTGCTCCCCCTAACTACGCCATAATTAAAACACAAATGAAAAGGGTACGTAGCATTGAATAGATAAAAAGGTAGCAACTACCCAACTAGCTAGCTGAAAACCCATTAAATTGCCCTCCCTGCATTTTTCTACCTTATTATAATACCCTTCACACTCTGAAAACATCTGTCCTCTCCTCGCCGCTCTCCATTTCGCCACTCACAGATTTCCCTCTCTTCTCTTCTTATATTTGAATCTTCATTTCATAAAATTGTTCTACTCCATCTCTGCTGGAATTCCCATTTTGTTTCCCTTCGTCCAATAAACTATGGGACGGGTAGACGATATAATCGACGAGGGTGAAACCTGCAGCGGCCAGCAGCTGGAAACAGGGCTTCTGCAGCCGCCGGCGAGCCAGAACGACATCGTCGGCGAAGGGTTTACTCCAGCGGTTGTTCTTAGCACCTTGGTCGCCGTGTGCGGTTCCTTGGCTACCGGTTGCGCTGTAAGTTCAAAATTAACTCGTATTTGTAGTTTCTCCCTTCTCCGCTCTTATTTAATAGACGTATGCATATATATCTATATATGTATTTTATATATTTAAATCTTTTAATTTTGTACTGATGCTAAATCATATTTTTTTACCATCAATTTGATGACTCTAGTGTTAAATATGGCCAACTTGGGAAGAAATACTTTATATTGACACCTTAAAGTAACGGAATAGGGGGCCTGAAATTCCAACAAAAGAGAGCCCTGAATTTTATATTTGGCCGGCCAACGATGGTCCTTGTGGGTATTAATAAATTTTAACCAAATCAGATACGTCGAAAGAGAAAGGAACAATATTTTAAGAGGATGAATAGTAGGGATGACAATGATTGGGTTTGGGGTGGATTTGCCTAAACCATCTTCATTCTCATTTTCAAATACTCAAATCCATACTTGTTCCATACTTATGTGGGTTCATCTCCGTACCCGTGGGTTTCGGGTACACATTAGGTAATACCTGTCTCCGTACATCTAACATTATTACTTAAAATTTAGAAGAAAACTTTTAATTATAACACTAAACGAATCTATTATATTATGAAGTTAACAAAATACAGTCATTTTCTTAATACGGTTCAAAAAATATGACCTTAAAACATTCGCAAATACATAATATAGAGTACAATATTTTCCAAATGATTATGCTCTAGCTCTAATACATCTACTAAGTAATAATCAACCAACATAATCTTGTTGGTAAGGGGGAAAGTGAAAGAGTGAAGGGAGAATTGAGGAAAATGAATTAGGTTTTGATTAGAGTGGCCACTTAATTGCATTTCTACTATTTATTTTCTCGAGTTATCATCATCAATCAACATTGAAATATTACAATTTGATCCACATATTTTTTATATGCGAAGAAATTCTCTTGGTGGGCCGGTATGGGTAGGTATGGGGCGGTGGAGGCTAAAACCATACTCGCCCCATACCCATCAAATTTTGTGCGAGTTTTACTCATACCTGCCCCATTCTTGATCAAAGCGGGGATTTCACATATTAACTGAGTCGGGGCGGTCGGGTAACCGTGGCCATGGGTTTGATTGTCATCCCTAATGAATAGCTATACAATAATATATACTATTTTCTCAAGAGAATGAGAAGAGATATTGGATAAGATTTGGATAACAAATGAGCCTCTTCATTCCCATTTTCATTAATTATGCTGCTAGAGTTGGGATGCTAATCGGTTTGATTTCGATTGATTACTTAGTAAAAATGCATATTTAAAATCAAATTAATAAGACATATCGGTTAACGGCCTGTTATCAGTCCAGCTAACGGTTAGTTTAGCGGTTGAACAATAAAATTCTGTTTACTTGAAACATAATTTTAAATTTTAAAGTGTAAACTTCTATACAAAGTCACATTTTATGTCCACTTAATTAAAACATATAGGAGTTTGCTACATGAGTTGTGATAAATTCCAAGTAATTTACTTGATGTGTGGTTGAGATTTCTAGTATGCCACAAGGTTGGTCATGTCAACTACATTAGTAACCAGGTTTACTTGGATTTATGAGACTCTTTTATAGGGGCTAGCAATTCAATAAATTTTTTTAATTTTTAATTTTCAATAATGAACATTTTGAATCTTGATTTAATTAATATCATGCTTTATTCTTCTGGACTCTTTCAGATCTTGATATGCCGACAGATAGACAGAACTCTATAAAACTAATCATCAATACTCCCCCCCCCCCCCCCCCCCCCCCCCCCCCCCCCCCCCCCCCCGATTGGGGCTAAAATCATATATACTCTTAAGAATTTCAACCTAATTGACTGTGTGATCGACCTAATGCACCATGTGGTCTAATTGGCTATGTGGTCAACCTAATTGACTATATTATAAGGCTTACTGATTTTTTGGTCAACAAAAAACCTCCATTAAACCTCAAATAACTCTGAATTTACAACAATTTACATATCAATAATACATGTAAACATCTCGACACTGAAAATCAAGTTAAAAAGAATATCAAAATGCCATTCCATTTGGAAACAAACAAAAAATGTCAAGTAGAAAAGTAATATTTGAAATGACTAAGGTGAAATCCTCCAATAATATATAGAGACTTTTGTCTACTTTTTTTCCTTTTCAAAATTTTTCTTTACTCCTCAATTCTAGCTAGGTTAAATTTATAATTAAAAAGTATTATTTAAAATATCTTTCTATAAAAATTTCATTACCAAGACTTGTACAAATTTTATGTATTTTTTAATTAAGATTATAAAATAAGTGAACATCTCAAAATTAGAGGAGTTATCCAGTGCAATAGTTAGCCCTCCAAATAACCAATAACTTTTAGTTTTTTTTCAAACAATACATCATGATATACCTAGCTTTATAAATTAATTTAAAGTGATTTCTCTAATCACATAGATCTTCATAAAAAATCTAATAATAAATTTATAGTTTAAGTCATTTAATGAAACTTAAACATTTGATATTCGATGGTCTAGCTATGATCATAAATTTACTTTTATGAGTAAAAGAGAATTCAATGGTTTTGTGAGGAAAAATTTCAATGTTAGAAGTGAATGATAAAAAATCACTGGCTAGTAGGGTTGAGAATTATAAGCATCAAAGTGAGAGACTAAATATGATTGACCAATGAGTCAAACATCATTGGTTGATCTAAACATTTAATGATAAATAGTATATATATGTACATGGAATTCTATGGTAACCACGATGAATTTTGGGTTACATCATACTTTTAGTACAATAATGTGTTATAGCATGAATTTTGAGAGCAGATCTTATCAGTAACCTTATAGTGAGTAACCATGAGTAACCTGCTCAAATCAGCATGACATCAGCATCTCTTTCATGGAAATCCTTTATCTTTTCCCCTCTAATATTTAACGGATGAAAAAAAAGTGCACAGATAAATCAGATTAATTGTGTTCTTTAAAATGATATCACTTTGATATATTTTTAGAACAAAAAAAATTGAGTCATTTTTTACTAGTCAATACCATATGGTATGCTCCTATTTAATATCATATGCTAAGAACATACCATGATGGTATGAACATACCAATAGTGTAGGAAGGTTGAATACATGATAGTATGAGTATACTAACTGTCATTTACGAATTTTATCATTGTTTACCACAAGTTACCACCCACATACCAGAGTGGTAAAGTATGGTAATTTTTGGTCCTGTATTTTTTTCACCCAGAATTTTGTAGATCCAAATGATCACGATGAACTCATTCCTTCTGAGCAAACGTTTTCAAAAACGACTTAAAAACGAAGAAGTTACCATATGGTATGTAGTTGGTAACGGGAGGTATGAAAAAAAAATTCTCGAAATATATTGAAAATTGATCTCATTTTGTAGAGCATAACGAACTCGTTCCATCTGTGCAAAAAAAAATTGAAATCCGAGTTAGAACGAAGAAGATAAGAGCCGATTAAAAAAACTCGGAAAAATAAAATGCCTATAATTCACAACTCTTAGATCTGGATTTTCAGGGGCCACTTAGATCTAAAGGTCCAGATTTAGTTACTCATAGGTCAGTAACCAATGGTTAGTGACTGTATCCCAAGCCACGAATTTTGACATGGTCATATACCATGACTTAATGATTAAATCATATATCCTAATTCTCTCAACCTCAATATGGGGCATATTGATATATCAATGCATCTGAGTCATCGATCATTTTTCTTGGTGTATTTTGATCTTTGGGTTTAAGTTTATAGAATTAGGGTTTAGAATTTGCTCATTTGAGTTTAGTAGAGTCGAAAATCCACTCATCCCATAACTATGGTTTAAGGTTTAGAGGATAAGGAGTCTAGGATTACAAAATAATCAATTATATTAACGAAGAGAATCTCTTAATGTTTTAAGCTAAGTAATAATAATTATTGTTTCAGGGATAGACTAAGTATTGAAAATGATAGATTGATGTGTATTATATACGATAACGATATGAGTGTCTTGGTTCAAAAATATTGATATAATACCCTACACCAAGAATATCACACCTCCATTAAGGACAAGAGTCAAAATTAAATAATCGAAATATTTTTTTGTGATTGAATCATCGGTTCATTTGCTTCATTAAGTGAAAAATTGTTCATCTCTCTTGTGGAAAATTATGGAGTACATAGTTTTGTATGCTCCATATTGATACCACTTTCAAAAACTCTAGTTATTAAGATATATTAATTTTGATTTTTATGTCATTTTCTAATAAGTAAGGTTTTATATAAATTTGTTGTAGTATGGATACTCATCACCAGCAGAGTCAGGGATCATAGTAGACTTGGGAATGTCTGTCGCGCAAGTAATTAATCACCAACCCATAACTACCTCCCCTTCTTCATTCTTCACTTCACTTTGTATTGGAATTGCAATTCTAGACTAAATTAAATAAAACCTCTTTGCATGATCTCATTAGTACTCAACCTTTGGCTCAATCTTGACAATTGGTGGAATGTTGGGTTCTCTAGTCAACGGCAAGACGGCAGACATAATTGGCAGGAGATATGTAAGACTAATGATTCTTCATTGTGGTCTCAACAATTTCAACTACTGCATACAATATATAACTCATGAAGTATTTTTTTTCACACCATTTATGTTGACAGACAATGTGGGTGTCTGAGGTGTTCTTCCTAGTCTCTTGGTTTGTAATAGCATTTGCCAACCTCCCATGGCTACTTGATCTTGGAAGGCTCATAATGGGATTTGCAGTTGGGATTAATGTCTATGTTATACCAGTCTACATTGCAGAAATCGCCCCCAAGAACTCTCGTGGCACCTTAACTTCTACTCATCAGGTAAATCCCATGTTTTCTTTTGTGGACACAACTCAAACACCATTATTAATTACTCATTGAACTCACTTTCTCAATGATTGCAGTTCATGCTTACCTTTGGCTTTTCTCTTATCTATTTGACGGGAACGCTCATATCCTGGCGAGCATTGGCTCTAGTTGGTACATCTTTCTGCTTCCTTATTATGCCTGCAATTGCTCATAAGAAGAATAATGGATCTTTACCAACTATTTGATTCTTTGTTTACAAAGGTGTTGTTCCATGTCTGTTGCATGTCTTGGGCATATTCTTTATCCCAGAGTCTCCAAGATGGCTGGTAAGCTCTAGAATTTCTTTTGCTTAAATTCATTTTCTTACCTCTCAATTGGAGATTTTCTTGGTACAGGCAAAGCTAGGGAAAGACAAAGAGCTAGAAGAAACTCTAAGATACCTAAGGGGAAAAAGTGTTGATGTTTCACAAGAAGCTCTTGATATTAAAGTAAGCTTTATGCATCTTCAAAACTTTATACAAGAGATTCATCTCCATTGATTGCTTATGTTTATTTCTACAGGAGCACACTGAGCTATTTGAGAGCCTTTCAGAGAATAAAATCCAGGACTTATTCCAGCGAAAATATGCAGATGCACTCATTGTGAGATGAGGATTATATATTTGTATACCACATCAAAAAATCTCTTTGTTTGTGCTCTAAGTAAGCTGGTAATCTCTTTCATTTGTGTTGTTGTTATACTTCCAGGTGGTTGTCGGGCTAATGGTGCTTCAGGAGTTTGGAGGGACAAATGCATTCTCATACTATAGCGCCTCCATATTTGAACTTGCTGGTATGCCTAGAAACAAAAGAAGGAATCCCCATACTTATTTTTTGCTTATGCATTAGATACTGAAGAAGATGCATGGTTTATAATATATATCATAGGTGTTTCAAGTACTTTCGGTCTGGTATCCGTTGCCATTATTCAGGTATGTACTTGGAGCTGTAGACTTCCATATGCAAAAATTATTCTCTATTCATTTCAGTGAAAAATGGAGATAAATTTTTCTACAGATTCCAGCCACCATCACATCTGTTCTTCTTACTGATAAACTAGGAAGACGGCCTCTTCTTTTGGTTTGTTTCTTCAACTCAAGCTCTTGTGTATACTTTGATAAAGCAAATGGATTTTGATCTCACTTCACAATACTTTTTCAGATATCTGCATTTGGGTTATTCTTGAGTACATTCTTGATTGGACTTGCATTCTTGTTGCAGGTATTTCATTATGGCTTATAAATGATTCATATATTTCATTTTAGATAAATACTTCAATATGTCATTTCATTTTCAGGAGCTTAACAAGTCTGAGAGTTTAACTGCTCTCTTGGCATACATTGGCTTGCTAGTAAGTGTAAAACCCAAGTGAAACTCTCACATAGATATATAGTCATTTGTTTATGGACATTTGAGTTAAATAAGAGAATTATTTGGTGTTTATTAGGGACTCCCCATAACTTTCTCGACTGGAATGGCAGGATTGCCATCCGTTGTAATGGCTGAGGTATCAGAATCCATTTCCATTGATTTTGTGAACTCTTTCATTCAGCATTTAGAGATTGAAATGTTCTTTTTTTTTAATTTTAGGTGTTTCCTATAAACATAAAGGGTACAGCTGGAAGTGTAGTGACATTTATCAATTGGTCATCTTCCTGGATGGTCACGTACTCTTTCAACTTCTTTGTCCTATGGAATTCTGCCGGTAATTCCGTTTGCTTATGAATTGTTGGTTACTTATCTTCCTCTAAAATCGTTCTTTCTTTGTATACAACATTTTATGTGTCTTTTGTGGTTTAATCTCATCAGGTACATTCTTCATATTTTCCACAATGTGGATTTTTGGAATTTTGTTCATTGCAAAATTTGTACCAGAGACCAAAGGTCGGTCACTAGAAGAATTGCAGACGTTAATAAATCACATCAAGTAGTCAGAAGAAGGATAAAAGTGGTCACTACTTGGTACTAGTTAGATTAATCAAGGAGCTTTTGTTGTAAATTTGCCATGCATATGTATCAATGCAATAATTATAGAGAGAAAATAGTCTTCACAAGGTAAAATTTCATTGGAAGAGGATTGTGATTAATCTACACAATAAATAAAAGCCAAATTAGAAAATTTGAGGCCCCATTTTAAATTTCTTGCATCCAGAGTGAAAGTAGGAGGAGTAGATTCGTCTTCACAGTAATTTTTTATTTTCTTATTTACGGAAAAATACATCAATAATGATATTTGAACCGTGGTCTCTTCGAACAAAGATAATAAACATAACCAGTTAAAATAAACACATTTATGTGATATTTTTCAATTAAAAACATACAGGAAGTTTAAATCTGAAAAATCATATGGATTTTCCTCCACGGTTAGCAAGCGAAATGTCATTGATTCAAATATTGCATATCGAATCGCACTCTTGAATGTGTAGAAGTGATGTAGAATTCTTAACATAGACTTAATTGTTATATCTACCATAAACTAACGATATTTTTAAACATAGAACTTTTGAGTGAATATGAACACAAGTGTCTTTAAGAGAGGGGTAAATATGGAAAGGTTGAGTGATGTTATTTTGCCGAACGCGGATGGAAAAGACACTACTAATGTAAACGGACCCAAATAGTGCCCCAACCCACTAAATGTTCAACTATCGTCGTCTCTCCGAACTTCCCATCAGACTCAACAACCGGCTAACCTCCTCTAGTCCTCTACATCTATTGTTACGTCGGAGCAATTTTTGGAGGGTAAATATGGAAATATTGAGTGTTGATGGTTTGCCCAATGTGGATGGAAAATGCGCAACTAATGTAAACATGCCCAGATAGTTTTCGACCCACTAAACGCACAACCACCCGGGTTACTTTTGCTACACATAATATAATAGTGAAAAGGGAAAGGTGCTTCCCCCATTACAAAATCCTTGCATCCATAGCAAAAATAGGAAGGGTAGATTCATCTGCACAGTATTTATTATTTTCTTATTTACAGGAAAAATACATAAGTGATGAGATTTGAATTGTGATTTGTTTGAGAAAATACAAGAAACATAACCAGTTACACTATAATTTTAATTCGAGTTTAATAATTAATTCTATTTCTATTTGTCTTATAAAAGGTAAATAATTTTAAAATTGCAAGCCTAATGGCATTGGTGCAAATAATGCGCATCGAATTGCAGCATTGAATGTGTAGAAGCGATGCAAAATTTTTGACATAGATAATATAACTACCATAAAATAACAATATTTTGAACATAAAAGTTTTGAGTGAATATGGGGCACATGTGTCTTTAACAGAGGGCTAAATATGGAAAGGTTGAGTGATATTGGTTTGTCGAATGCGGATTAAAAAGACCAACTAATGTAAATGGGTTTAAATGGTGTCCCGACCTACTAAACGCTCAACTATCACTGTCTCTCCAAACCTTCCCACCGGACTCGACAACCACCTAACCTCCTCCACCTATATTGTTACCCAAAGAAATTTTTGAAGGGATAAAGATGGAAAGATTGAGTGTTTTTGCTTGGAGAGCTAACTGGTGGGTTATGTAGTTTCTTTGATTGTAATGTGTGATCTCTTAAGATTAGTTCATTTGGTTGATCTTCTAGGTTGACTTTGAGTTGATAAAAGATAAACAGTGTCCCAGGCTCCCAACCTACTAAACGCTCAACCATCGCCGTCTCTCCAAACCTTCCCATCAGACTCGAAAACCGCCTAACCTCCTCCACCTATGTTGTTACGCAAAGCGATTTTCGGAGGGATAAATATGGAAAGATTGATTGCTCTTGTTTAGAGAGCTTACTGATGGCATTGTAAAAAAATCTGTTTTTTATACGAAATCTAATTTTCTAATGAAATGCGACCCAGTACTCTACTGTGTGCTGAATTCGCCGCTGCTGACAAGGGTTGGGTAATAAGCTAGTAATCTAAAAAGCCGAAATAAAAATAGTCACTATTCTATGAGTTCTAAGTTGTAACGGCACGAAAGAAGGAAAATAACTTTCGGATCTACCATAGATCTCCCTGTCTTCTAATTTAGCCTTGTTAAAGAGGTTAGCGTTCCTCGAATTTGCATGCATCCTTAATTTGCTACATTATAACGTATAACTAGTTTGTATCATTTTATGGTTGATAAGTCTAAATGTTCACAAACTTTTGATGAGTTGTGGGTATAGGTGTCAATCGGGCGGGTTCGGGCGGGTTGGGGTTGGGTTCAATCGGGTTCGGGTTCAAACGGGTTGAGGGTTAGTCGGGTTGCGGGTTCATCGGGTTCGGGTTCATCGGGTTCGGGTTCAAACGGGTTGCGGATTCATCGGGTTCGGGTTCAATCGGGTTACGGGCAAATCGGGTTGCGGGTTCATCGGGTTTTGGGTCGGGCGGGTTGCGGGTGGATCGGGTTTCGGGTTGTTCGGGCTAGCGCATCAAGTAACTTAACTCATTACTCATTACCAACTTACACATTTTATTACACTAATTTAAAATATTTTCTCAACTTTTTAACCAATTTATTTCTACCTCGTATATATATATATACTTTATTTCTACCTAGTCAAAATGTTAAATCAATTTTATGACTTGCAAACTTGTTATGTAATTAATCATAATTGGTAAAGTATTATAGCTAATAGTAATGGTGATATCAATATTTGCAACCAAAAGACACCATTAATTGTTTATTTGATATTTTAGTATTAATTCAGTAGTAATTGAATTAAAGTATCTCGTTTAGTATAACCATGCAAATCTGGTATTTGGCGTGTGGTATTTGGCAAAAGCATAGTGATAAAAGGAGTTATTTCGAAATAACTCATTGCCCAAATAACTTCAGTAAACTGTTGTCAAACGAGTTATTTGTAAAATTGTTCGAATTATCCTAAAAATTGAACCATTAAAGATTAGCTATCAAATTTAGTAAAATTATTGTTACTTCAATCATAACTTACTCAATAGCATATATCCTATACACTTAGCCTTACCCTCAATCAACAATATTAAGTTAGTATATGTTGTTGATTGTATACCCTAAAGGCCTAAACCATCAATACATTATACACTAACCACATAACCTATACCCTATACCCTAACCATATGTTTTTGAGTTGTGATTTTGCTAGTATAGTTAATTTAAAAGTGAAATTCATATTTTGATTTTCAAAACATAGATAAAAAGTGATATTTGCTAATTGTTATACCCTAACCATATATCCTATACTTTACACCACATACCTTGTATCCTAACCACGTACCATAAACAAAAATTAAAAAGGGATCTCCTGCCGTTAAAGACTTCAAATGACTTCAAGTGAACATATGTTAATAAAAAACTTGGAACCGTCAAAACCATCAATATCTTATACCCTAACCATATACACCCTAAACCATATGTACCTTATACCCTATACCCTAACCATATACTTTATATCCTAAACAACGAACCGTCAAAGATTACTTATCAAGTTTAGTATAAATTGTTGTAACTAATGGTTAATTTATTTATTAGCCCATAAACAATTACATACATATATATATTAGCCTTCAAAGCATATAAGAATAATTTTAATTAGTCATGCCCTTCATATAAAAGTTAAAGATTCATATTTCAAAAGCTAAAATTATGAAAAACCAAAATATTGAAAACACCAAATTTGTTTCCTTCTTTCTTTTCACAAAAATACTAAAATTTCCCTCCTTCTTTCTACTTCCATACATTAGAAAACTCAATTTTCCCTCCTCTTTCTCTTCCATAAAATTGAAAGAACCAAATTACCCTATTCTTTCCTTCTACAAAAAGTTGAAAACTCAAAAGTTTCCCTCCTTATTTCTCTTTCATAATCAAAAGAATCAAACTTTCCCACTTCTTTCTCTTCCCACATATCAAAACCACCAAAATTCCCACTTGTTTCTTTTCTAAAAAAATTCAAAGAACCAAATTTCCCTCTTCTTTCTCTTCCCAAAAACTTGAATTCACCAAACTTTCCCTCTTCATTTAAAAACATCAAATTACCAAATACATTACTTTACTTTATTTATATTTAATTGATAATTTTATTGAATAGTTAAATTAACCAAAATTTTAATTTATATATTATATTAATATTGTCATGATTTCAAGTGACCTTCATGTTTCAATTTTTATAATTTTCTTAAAATTCGTAATATCAAGTGAGTTTCATATTTTTTAAATTTCCTATACGAAACGAAAAATTTTTTTTACTTAAGTTTAGAATGAATAACTTTATTTTGAAAAACTATGTATTGAATATTTTTATAATTATTCAAGTGGATTAGATTAAATTCGGGTTGAGTCGGTCGGGTTACGGGTTAGTCAGGTTCGGGTCAATCGGGTTCGGGTTAATCGGGTTGCGGGTCAGTCGGGTTGCGGGTCAATCGGGTTCGGGTTAATCGGGTTGCGGGTCAGTCGGGTTGCGGGTTAGTTGGGTTGCGGGTCAATCGGGTTACGGGTTGTTGACTTTTAGTCAATTCGGATTGCGGTCGGGTTGCGGGTCGGGTTGATCGGGCGGGTTAATCGGGTCGGGCTATGTTTTGACACCTATAGTTGTGGGCTCGGGTAGATCATGTCAGGTTTGTTGATGATCTGCTAATATTCACTGAGGTTTATGGTTGAGATTTGGTGTGTATTAGTAGATCGCTTTTGATTATTTTTTCTCCTATCACGACTACTTTGTAATTCAAGGAAATCAAACACCAGTCAAATACGAGCTTATGCCTCAATAAATTAGAGTAATGTTTATTTTTTATCCAAATCTTTTTTAGATTCTTTTAAATTATCCAAATCTATCGAAATACTAAGAATTAGCTAAATGTTAACTTTCAGTTAGCAATTTTGTTAGTAATATTGATTTGGCAACATGAAATTGACTTGGAAGAGACACCTGAAGGTCAAGATTCCAAAATTTTATTGATTTAACAAAGAAAAGAGTTACAAAATTATTAATGATAACGTAAAAATGGTTAATATTTTGATGAATAATGAAAAATTTGGCTAATTAATAGAATTTTAATAAGTTTGGATAATATAAAAGAATCCAAAAAAATTTTGGATACAAAATAGACATTACCTAATAAATTACTCGAACTTATTGAAGTACAGGACCCAAACTACATAAAAAAATCCCTCCATCCTTTCACCTTCCCATATACATCTCCATC